CATCACACATGACCTGCAGCAGAATGCACCCTGGACTATACTCTATTCTGATGATGTTATGCTTGCTTCCACCACCAGAGGTGAACTACAGCAGCAAGTTCCAACATGGAATTATTGCCTCAACGATTTCGTACTTCACCTCAACATCAAGAAAACTGAGTACTTAGAGACTGTCACCACCCCTGGAATGCTTCAAATCAATGGAGAAAACCTAAAGAAGGTGGACATTTTTCAGTATCTAGGATCCCATCTCCAAGGCAATGGCGACATCAGTGGTGAGGTGCGAGCAAGGGTGAATGCAGCCTGGATGCATTGATGAGAACTCACTGGTGTGTTATGTGACAAACAAATGCCAACCCATCTTAAATCTAAGATTTACAAGAAAACCATCTGCCCTGTTGCACTGTATGGCACTGAATGTTGGGCAGCAACAACAGGGACCGACAGCTATCTCCATGCCACGGAAATGCAAATGCTCCATTGGATATCAGGCATCTCCCTTCTTGACCACATTAGAAATGACACCATTCACCAAAATGTTGGTGTGGTATGGAGAAGATGAGAGAAGGCCGGCTCCTCTGGTATGGACATATCCTGAAAGCAGCACCTTCCACTGTTGGCAAGACTGCCTACCAACTAAAAGTCAATGGCTGGCGACATCGCGGGCATCCAAAACAGAGATGGCAAGACACCATCAACAAAGATATGCAAGCCATGGGCCTGCACCCTGGAGACACAGCAGACCATGCAAAGTGGCATTCAATGATCCAAAAAGCAGAGCCCGCACTAGCAGGAATACACTAGGACCGTGATGGGGAACCTATGGCATGCGGGCACACAAGCCGTCGCCCTACTTCAGCTCTACCACAAATGCGTGTATGCCTCCCGCCAGCCAGTTGATTTTTGGGTCTCTGCCACGCATGCAGGGGGCACATGCAGGAGATATGCACGCATGCGTGGGGGTGGGGAGGTGCAGGAGGTCGTATGTGCATTCCATTTTGGGTTATAAGTGTAGGGAGGCCTACTAGGACCAAAACAAGGTGCAGCGGGTGTGTGCGGCACACACACACACACACAAAACACACCCCATGGCCCGTTTTTGCTCCCAGGAGGCTGCAGGGAGGCCCAAAATGGAGTGGGGAGGAGCACGGGAGGAATCGCATGTGCATGTGGGGGGAGCATGGGGGGTCATGTGTGAATGCACTGGGGAGGCAGAGGTTGTTGCATGCACATTGCATTATGGGTGCAGGCACGTGGGTACGGGCTTTCAGCACACAACAAAAAGGTTAGCCATCACTGCACTAGGAGGAGGAAGAAGAAGGAGAAGGAGAAGATGATGATGTAGCTTTCCATCCATTACAAATTGCATCACAAGTTGATATATCGGTCACAAAAGAAATGTTGAATATAATTTGCAATTATATGCAAGTTATAATAATTTGCAATATATGCAAGTTATATATAATGAACCATGGTGGCACAGTGGTTAGAATACAGTATTGCAGGCTAAATTCTTCTGACTGCCAGCAGTTTGATTCTCACCGGCTCAAGGTGAGTAAAACGAGACCCAGATTGTTGGGGGCAATGATTCTACAAATCATTTAGAGACGGCTGTAAAAGCACTGTGAAGTGGTATGTAAGTCTAAGTGCTATTGCTATTGCTAACGTATAAAAAATACTGAGAAATACTGGTTTTAAAGCCAAAACTAAGTATTAATCAAGGAGGATCAGAGTACTGACTGTCTACACGTACCCTCCACTGAGAAGCTTTTTAAAAAAGATGTATTAATATAAAATAAATTAATAAATTAAATAACCAACAAACAAGAACATCCCACTATCAACAATTCTCTCCTCTAATGTTATTTAAATAATACCTAAAGGCAAAAACCAAGAATAATTTGTAAGCAAGATTCCCAATTTTTTTTTCCAATTAAAAAATGGAAAGACATTTAGGGGAAATATAATTCCCACCAAATAATTGAAAACTAAGAAGAATTGGCGGGCTCCAGGTTTTACAATTCTGTTTATTAACATACACTATTCCATTTGGTTTTGTGGGTTCTGGGACAGATCCAGTGGTGGGATTCTACCGGTTCGCACCGGTTAAGTAGAACCAGTTGTTAAGTAGTTAAGTAATTCGGAGAACCGGTTGTTAGAAGAATCTCCTTTTGTTTTTTTCCACTTTACAGGGTTAATCCTGTAAGGTGTTGTTTCCTAGCCTAATCTTTATTGCCCTGCTTACAGAAACTACCTCTCCATTAACCTTTATTACATTCTTGGCAGCACGACTAAACTTACTGTTGCTTCCGGTTCCGGAGCTTCTCGGAGAGCTTTTTTTTATTTTTGTTTTTTTGTTTTTGCTTGACTTTCTTAAAGGGGAAGGGTTGTTTTAAGCTTTTTACACCGCTGTTGGGAGGAAATACTCCCCTGTTGGAATTCTTCCAGCCAGGGTGCGGTGATCAGCACTTTGAAGAAATAATTGAATAACGAAGCAGAAGCTTTTAATGACAAGGAATCAAGATGAGTGACATTCAGCAAGGCTTATTGGCTAGCTAGAAAGATTGACATTCAAATGTGAGTTTACATACCCTTTCTGACTTTTGGTCTAAAACTGGTTTTTGATGAAGTTTAATTCTGTGCTTGGTGATGTTTAATCCTGTGATTAGTGATGAGATAATTTTCCCTATTCAGCTTTGTTTGGAAGGAAAAATGTTAATCTCTGTTCCTGAAAAGAAGCAGCTTTGGAAATCTGACTAGTTCCTGTGTCTATTTGTTCTGGTAATTGGTTTAACAAGCAACAGATACTCTGTTTGCTCCTTTGCTTCATTCTGGAGAGTTTAAATGACCTCTCTGCTAAAGGGTTCACCTTATGAGCAAGAGTTGGCTGCTGATAGTTATCATTGCATTTTAACTATTTTAACTCCTAAAAGTGCTCTGCCACCCTGCCTGATTTGTAACTCCAGCTTGCAGGTATTTCTAATCTAATGATTGGTATTTAGGGCAGCTTTCTGCAAGCAAAGAAGCTTTTTGTATTTTTGTACAGGTAATCCTTGATTTACAACAGTTACAATGGCACTGAAAAAAGTGATTTATGACCATTTTTCACACTTACAACCATTGCAGCAAACTGTCATTAGGGCAAAGAAGCGATGCCACATGACCACCTGGCCATGCCCACCCAGTCACATGAAGCAGCGCAGTTGTGAAATGAGTGACACGGTTGTTAAGAATGCTGCAACGGGCATAAATGATGAGTGGTCATAAGTTAGAGGACCAATCAAAAGTGCAAGGACCTGTCAGAAACCACTTTTTTCAGCCCTCTGGGTCGTCCCTATGTGCATAGGGACCACTCAGAGGGCTGAAAAAGTTATTTTTGACTGGTCCTCGCACTTTTGACCAGTCCTCGCACTTACGACTGTCCTCACATTTTACATTTTGCACCCTATCTTATCACCATGATGAAGAGAATTGTGAAATGAGTGACACAGTTGTTAAGAATGCTGCAGTGGGCATAAATGATGACTGGTCATAAGTGCGAGGACCGGTCAAAAGTGTGAGGACTGGTCAGAAATCACTTTTTTCAGCCCTCTGGGTAGTCCCTATGTGTATATGGACTATTCAGAGGGCTGAAAAAGTTATTTTTGACCGGTCCTTGCACTTTTGACTGGTCCTCGCACTTACAACTGTCCTCACATTTTATGTTTTGCGCCCTATCTTGTCACCGTGGTGAAGAGAAGCAGTTGTGAAATGAGTGACACGGTTGTTAAGAATGCTGCAAAGGGCATAAATGGCCATTTCTGTTTCATGTCTTGGAAGTATGAATTTGGGTGAGAACTTTGCTTTGTAAAGTGCATACACTAAAATGCACAGGTTATTGTTAATGATGACCTCACAAAATCTTGTATTATTCAGAAGGGAATGAGACAAGGATGCCTGCTATCCCCACTTTTGTTAATAGAAGTTCTGAATAGGGATATAAAAAAAGAGGAAGGAATAATGGGATTAAAAATTAAAATTAAAAATGCACAGGGTTAGTTTTGTAATGTATTTTTTACTTAGGCTATGGTTTTATATTGTAGTATGTGTGGATGCCTATTTTTCTTTCTTCATTTTTTTCAGAAATTTACTCCTTCCTGGCTATCTGTCTTGACATAATTGACACCATTTTGGGGGGTGTTTGTTATTTTGATTGATATTAGGGATTTTGTTTTCTTTCTTTTTCCTCAGAATGCTTGCCCAGTACAATGTGATTTTTGTTTGCTGGTTTCTATCAGGCTTCTATTCTTTTTTCCCCCTGAAAGGACTCTTCTGCATATTTGGTCCCTGATCCTGTTGGTCAAAACTTCCTTCTTTTTGGTAATGCTGAAAAGGCATCTTTCATTTGCCCTTTAGCATCAAAGGGGGGATTAGGAGGGGCAAATAACATGGGTTTTGTAATTTGTTAACTAACATAGTTACCTTGTATTTTAATCTGATTGATATTCTCTCTTTTAAAGTGATGTTCAGATTTATTAGCTTTTAACATTCCTAAACTGATAAACAAGCTGGAGGCTATCTCTAGATAAGAAAAGTTTTTTAGTACAACTTGGTCTCTTATGTGAACTCTAAACAACCTTTTTCCTTACAATTATGCCCCTTCTGAGTCAGACCTCATTTTAATGAACATGTGTGATATTATGGGATACAAATATGTAACATGTTTGACTACATGTAACTGATTTCCTATGAAAAGGAGAGATTACTTTTATTCTGTCCAATTAACTTTCCTCTTGCATTTTCTTTGTTGTGTTAACTATAAAAAAAAAGGGAAACATGGGGCTCAAGGCTCTCTCTCTTCCTTTTTCATAGAGAGACCCACTTTATCAGGGTACCCTAATAAACTGCTTTTAAATGATCTTCCGACTCAGTTACTTATTGGAAAGGTAAACTGAGGCAAAACCTAGAGCCAGATTTGGCTTTCAATCCAATATGCTGTTTTCTCTTTTCCCTTCTTGAAGAAACCTGTTCCTTGCTCAACCAGCAGAAAAAGATTGATCTTCAGTTACGAATTCAAAAAGCCTGCGAGCCAAATGTGGATTATGGTATTTATATTGTAGAATCTTATTAATAAGGTAGTGGTGTCTTTCATTATTAATGCTCGATTTCTAATTAGCAAGAAGTCATGATTTGGAGCAGCCATTTTGAATTTATTCATAATAAGATGGATTTTTTTAACCCTCAGAATACACACCTTCATTCTGCAATGATATTTTTCTAGTTAACATGGTACTGCTTGTTGGTGTGTTATTTACCCTCCAGTGCAGCATATAACAATTCAGGGCTCATAGAAATAGATCTGTATCAATGAGTAAGCAGAGCCAAAACACTGAGATTCAGAGAACATTTCCATGCTGCACACACTCACTGGATGATTGGGAATAATAATTGTCCATAGACAATTAGCAGTGCCTGTGCCTCACTGATTATGCCACTCATGGTGAAAAATAATCAGCTGTCTTAATGAGTATTGTTTCTGTCTTTGTTCTTATAAGTCTACAAAACCAAGCTGCTTCGGATAGAAGAAAAAGATGGTAATGATATCTATGTCATGGACGTTTTAGAAGTTATTAAATCAGGTAAGATTTTTTCTCTGAAACAAACATTTTCTTTTTTTTTTTAATTTGATTTATATGCCGCCCTTCTCCGGAGACCCAGGGTGGCTTACAATGCGCTAAGCAATAGCCTTCATACTTTTGTATATTTATACAAAGTCAGCTTATTGCCCCCACAACTGGGTCCTCAATTTACCTACCTTAGAAAGGATGGAAGGCTGAGTCAACCTTGAGCCTTGGCGAGATTCGAACCTGCAGTAATTGCAGGCAGCTGGTCTTAATAACAGGGTGCTTTAGACCACTGTACTACCAAGGCTCTTCTTTAAATCTGAAAGTTCATTTCAACCCTATTTGAAAGTTCACATTAGTCTATTTACTGTATTTTCCGGCATATAAGACGACTTTTTAACCAGGAAAATCATCTCAAAAGTCGGGGGTCGTCTTATACGCCGGGTACCCGAATCTGAGTTCCTGGCGCTGACCGATGACACTTTGGGAGCGCCGGCAACATTGAGGGGAAGCTGTACTCCGAATTAGTTCCAACCTACAAGAGGTGCCAGGCAGTGCGGGGCCCACGAGAAAGGAACGCGTCCCCAATCTACCCCGGAATTCGGGTCACCTTCCTTCTTTTCCCAGCAGTCCACGGTGAAAGCGGCGCCGCGGTCGACCTGGGCCAGCGCCTTGCACACCTGGCTCTGCGTCTCCATTATGAGAAGCCCCATGCGACTTCGCATGTCTCCGCCCCAGTCGCGCAGCTCTCGCAATCCGCTCACTGGAGGAGCCATGAAGTGCTCGCACCGCCTTGCCAGATCTTCCTCGTCGTCCTTTCCCCACAGCTTTTCCCGTTGTAATTGCTGCTGCTGCTACCGCCGAGGCTGCTCCTTCATCTCCGCCCACCGCACCAGACCCAGCCTGGCCAGCACCGCCGTGGCTCCCGCAGTCCAAGCGGATCGGTGCCCGGGCTCGCAGGCGAAGGGTGGGAGTGTGCAGCGATCGACGCCGATCGCTGCCACCCACCATCGCCCCAACGGGAAGAACTGCCCAGCAGCGATTCCAAGGAGCCCGAAGCGAACATCCTGGAGCAGCGCAGGCCGGCCCAGAGGCTTAAACCCCGGGAGCCCAGGTGCCAAACCCCGCACAGCAGAAAAGACATGACAGCCGGTGCCCAGTTCCTTCTGCAGCCATCCGGATCAGCGCCCGGGCTCGCAGGCGAAGGGTGGGAGTGCGCAGCGCACTTTCCTGGCTTGGCGCCGATCTGGACGGCTGCAGAAGGAACTGGGCACCGTCTGTCATGCCTTTTCTGCTGTGCAGGGTTCGGCACCTGGGCTCCTGGGGTTTAAGCCTCTGGGCCAGCCTGCGCTGCTCCAGGACGTTCGCTTCGGGCTCCTTGGAATCGCTGCCGGGCGGTTCTTCCCGTTGGGGCGATGGTGAGTGGACTGCGGGAGCCACGGTGGACTCCTTCCCCACGAGGTATTGCTCTGCATTTCACCACCTCTTCCAGGCTCGCAGCCACCCACCATCGCCCCAACGGGAAGAACCGCCCAGCAGCGATTCCAAGGAGCCCGAAGCGAACATCCTGGAGCAGCACGGGCTGGCCCAGAGGCTTAAACCCCAGGAGCCCAGGTGCCGAACCCCGCACAGCAGAAAAGACATGACAGCTGGTGCCCAGTTCCTTCTGCAGCCGTCCGGTTCGGTGCCAAGCCAGGAAAGTGCGCTGCGCATTCCCACCCTTCGCCTGTGAGCCCGGGCGCTGATCCGGATGGCACCTGGGCTCCCGGGGTTTAAGCCTCTGGGCCGGCCTGCGCTGCTCCAGGACGTTCGCTTTGGGCTCCTTGGAATCGCTGCTGGGCGGTTCTTCCCGTTGGGGCGATGGTGGGTGGCTGCGAGCCTGGAAGAGGTGGTGAAATGCAGAGCAATACCTCGTGGGGAAGGAGTCCACCGTGGCTCCCGCAGTCCACTCACCATCGCCCCAACGGGAAGAACCGCCCGGCAGCGATTCCAAGGAGCCCGAAGCGAACGTCCTGGAGCAGCGCAGGCCGGCCCAGAGGCTTAAACCCCAGGAGCCCAGGTGCCGAACCCTGCACAGCAGAAAAGACATGACAGCTGGTGCCCAGTTCCTTCTGCAGCCGTCCGGATCGGCGCCAAGCCAGGAAAGTGCGCTGCGCACTCCCACCCTTCGCCTGCGAGCCCGGGCGCTGATCCGGATGGCTGCAGAAGGAACTGGGCACCGGCTGTCATGTCTTTTCTGCTGTGCGGGGTTTGGCACCTGGGCTCCCGGGTTTAAGCCTCTGGGCCGGCCTGCGCTGCTCCAGGATGTTCGCTTCAGGCTCCTTGGAATCGCTGCTGGGCGGTTCTTCCCGTTGGGGCGATGGTGGGTGGCAGCGATCGGCATCGATCGCTGCGCACTCCCACCCTTCGCCTGCGAGCCCGGGCACCGATCCGCTTGGACTGCGGGAGCCACGGCGGTGCTGGCCAGGCTGGGTCTGGTGCGGTGGGCGGAGATGAAGGAGCAGCCTCAGCGGTAGCAGCAGCAGCAATTACAACGGGAAAAGCTGTGGGGAAAGGAGGACGAGGAAGATCTGGCAAGGCGGTGCGAGCACTTCATGGCTCCTCCAGTGAGCGGATTGCGAGAGCTGCGCGACTGGGGCGGAGACATGCGAAGTCGCATGGGGCTTCTCATAATGGAGACGCAGAGCCAGGTGTGCAAGGCGCTGGCCCAGGTTGACCGCGGCGCCGCTTTCACCGTGGACCTCCTTGGAATCGCCTTGGAATGCTGGAACCAGCTGGTTGCTGAGCGGAGCTTCCCCCAGGCATCTAGGGGGATATTACCGACGCTCTGACTTCCCCAGACCGGTGGGGCTCGCCATCAGTGGGGGTCAGCTGGGGAAGTCGGAGCGTCGGTAATATCCCCCTAGATGCCTGGGAGAAGCTCCGCTCAGCAACTAGCTGGTTCCAGCATTCAGCAGCATGCAGCCTTGACTAGATCGGCACAGCTTCCTGTCAATGTTGTCGGCGCTTCCGTAGCGTCATCAGTCAGTGCCAGCAATTCAGATTCATGAAGCTGTGCGGATCTCGACAAGGCTGCATGGGTGAAGGAAAAAAACCTGGTACAAAATAGCCCTCTTGCCACCACACGTAGCGTAGCCCATTACCTTTCTCTACAGTACAGCAACAATACATACAGTACAGCAACAGTACATACAGTATAGTATACAAATATAACAGTCAAGACCCCATCATGGCTCCACCAGCAAGAAGAAAGAAATATGAAGCCAGTTTTAAACTTAAAGTTGTAAACTTTGCCATGGAACATAATAACTGTGCTGCTGCAAGACAATATGGAGTAACAGAAAAAATGGTTCGGGACTGGAAAGCAAATGTAAAAGCATTAAAGAGTATGCCAAGGGGTAAGTGTGCATTAAGAAGAGGCACCCCACATTGGCCAGAACTCGAAAAACATGTAGCAGACATGGTGAATGAGCATCGCCAAAACGGTTATGTAGTTACACGAAATAAAATACGTTTGTTTGCACTTCAGTGGGCCAAATCTAACCCAGATCACAGCAACAGATTTAAGGCCACTGTATCCTGGTGTACTAGATTCTTGGAAAGGCATAATTTGGTTCTGAGGCAAAAGACAAAAATTGCACAAAAATTACCTGCAGATCTTGATGCCAAAGTAAATAGTTTCCATCGATATGTAATAAAACAGCGCAAGAAACATGGCTATGCGTTAAGTAGTATCGGAAATATGGATGAAACTCCAATGAATTTTGATATGATTGGAAATAAAACTGTCCATCCAAAAGGTGAAAAAACAATTTTAATTAAAACAACAGGACATGAGAAGTCCAGTTTTACAGTGGTACTAGCATGCACAGCTGATGGCTCCAAACTGAGACCAATGATTATTTTTAAAAGAAAAACAATGCCAAAACTAAAGTTCCCTGTTGGTTGTTTTGTACATGTGAATGAAAAAGGCTGGATGGATGAAGAAGGGGTAAAGCTATGGCTTGATAATATATGGAGCAGGCGACCAGGTGGACTTATTCAAAAACGTAGTCTACTGGTGTGGGATATGTTCAGGGCTCATTTAACTCCCAGCACCAAGCAAAGGCTTGCAAGAATAAACACAGATGCGGCAGTTATTCCTGCAGGATTGACATCGTTGGTACAGCCACTGGATGTGTGCCTAAACAAGCCATTTAAAGATCGCATTCGAGAACAGTGGAATGAGTGGATGGTTAGCGGTGAAAAGTCATTCACAAAAGGAGGAAACATGCGTGCTCCACAGTTGGATGGTTTGTGCAAGTTTGTCATAAAAGCCTGGAATGATATTGATGCAGAAACAGTAATCAAGTCTTTCAAGAAGTGTGGCATATCAAATTCATTAGATGGTATGGAGGACGACTACTTGTGGCAAGATGAAGAGGAAGCCGAAGCTGAGACCACACCATCTGATACGGAATTAGATCCATATGATGACTGCCTTACAAATGTATCACAAGATGTCCTTGATGTACTTATGACATCAGATGACGAACAGGAGGATTTTGAAGGCTTTTAAAGGGAAACTGTCACGCCAGCAAAACCTGTAAAAATAGCTTGCAGTTATGATGGGCGTTACTGACTCGCCAGGGACTTGCCCGGCACTGGCTCTCTATTGTTTGTTATCTTCCTCCTATCATAATCAGTTCCAGTTTGGTTGACAGCTTAGAAAACAAACAGCATGGCAGCTCCCATGGGTTTATTGTCTTATCCTTCCTTTCAGCTTTAGAGTGAATTAGGAAAAGTTTAATCCAATTGTACTGTTTTATGTTGACATGTTTGATGACAAACAGCCTTATGTTTATAAGTGACAGTTTTCCTGCTAAGTACCTGTGTGTCATAAGCATTTGAATTAAAATTACCATATTGAAATCAAATCTGATGTTTTTTAATTTTTATTTGGTGTGCGTTGGAAGAGGGGTAGTCTTATACGGCGAGTATAGCCCAAACCCTATATTTTAACAGGAAAAGTAGGGGGTCGTCTTATACGCCCAGTCGTCTTATACGCCGGAAAATACGGTAATTTGATTTAATTTAATTTATTCAATTTAAGCTCTTGAAGCTTTCTAGAGAAGGCCAGCAGGGTGGGAGTTACTGAGATATCGGGATAACTTCACCTACATGCTGAATTTTCATCTCTACAGTCAAAATCTCAGTGTTTCCCGGAATTTTCCTTGAGTAAGAATGCTGTAGTTTTCTCAAAAAGTAAAAGAGGGCAGCCATTAAAAACCTCAAGTGTCAGTAGGACATATTTTATTTCACAGAAGCTCACATTTCTATGGAACAGTAAAGTATTTCCCATTGGAAGTCAGATAGAAATTCTCTCAAAATGTGCATGATTCAATATTTCCCAAAATTTTTTGTAACACTTTAGGATTCGCGCATACACAGCTTTCTTTTCACCAGCTGAAGGACTTTTCGGCGCCCTGCGGCCAGGCAGCTAAGAGGCTTCTTTGCTCTGGTCAGCTTCGGGTGGGTGAGCAAGCAGCGACCGGGGGACCGGTTCGGGGGCATGGCCTGGCTGCCATTACTACCGGTTCGGAGAACTAGTTCCTAAAGTTCAATGGTGGCTTGCTCCCGGTTCGCACCGGTTCCCGCGAGCCGGTAGCGGTGATGATATGACGTCATCGAACTGGTTCTCACCCCCCCGCCCCTCCACCCCCGCGTTATTTTTAGCCTTTATTTGGCCCCACTCCCAATCTATTGCTGCCTCCTGAGTTCCAGCTGATGGCTAGAGGGAAAAAAAACTGTTTAAACTCTTGCCGCAGGGCTTCAAAGGGCCACCCTACAAGTGATCAGTGTTAAAAGAAAACAAATGAGTAGCTATGCTAGGGAAAAAACGAAACTGAAAGTAAAGCAGGCTCTGCTGCAACATGACAAAATGAGGCAGGGAGATATTTCTTTTTCTTTTTGCTCACCAAAAAAGGTAGGTGCAAACAATGGGAAATTTAGGGCAAAAGAGGAGAGTTCAAGATTTTAAAATACAAAAGAAAAAAAGCTCTATTTAACTAGGGAATTGTAATAATTGAGATATTATTAATTGTATATTGTGTTGAAAGCAGAAATGGTTAAGTTGTGGTTTGGAGGAATATATGGGGGAAATTATTTGGTTTATTATTATTGGTAAATATAATTAATTGATTTGTAAGAAATTGGATTGCATGGAAATAATTGGAATATTCATGTTCATATTGATTAATATATAAAAAAGATAATTATATAACTAATTAATTTATATTAAAATGTTTGTAAAATTAAAATTAATTAAAATTTGTATTAAACAACTGTAATATTACATAATTAACCAATGTGAGGATGGATATAAAAATAGATGACAATGGGAAGGGGTATAATATAGAATAGAAGGGAAAAATTGAATTTGATTAAGATTAGAGATGAGGATGAAGGGTAATATTGGTTTTTTTAAAAAATAGATGAGGAATAAATATGGCAAAAAGGAAATATAGAAATTTTAAATTTAATTGAAATGACTAAACACTGGTTAAATTTGTGAACCGGCCAAATACTCTGTTCAAAGAAAATACATTGTATGTTTGTATATGTGTTTCTAATTATTGCTATTTATTCATATTTGTCCTCTTTTATTCTTTAAAGATTAACAATTCATTTTTTATCTTAATATCTTTATATTTGTTTGGGGTTTCCTTTCTTCCCTTTCATCTTTTTTATTGTACAGCAATCTTTCTCCTCAAACCTACCGCCTCTCTCTTTTCTTTCCTTCTTACTTTCTCTTCCCCCCCTCTTCTCCTCCTCCCTACTTCCTCTTCCTTTCTCCTTCTCCTCCTCTCTTCCTCCCTCTCTTACCCTCACTCCTACTCTAATTTCCCTTCCCTTCCTTCCTCCCTTCTCTTCCTTCCCTCTCTTCTCCTTCCTTCATCCCTCTCTATTGCTGTATCCTTTTGTGCATATGGATTACTCAGAGAGCTGAAAAAGTTATTTTTGACTGGTCCTTGCACTTTTGACCACTCCTCGAACTTATGACTGTTCTCACATTTTACGTTTTTTGCCCTATCTTGTCACCATGGTGAAGAGAAGCAGTTGTGAAATGAGTGACATGGTTGTTAAGAATGCTGCACGGGCATAAAGGTGAGGATGGTCATAAGTGTGAGGACCAGTCAAGTGCAAGGACCTGTCAGAAATGACTTTTTTCAGCCCTCTGAGTAGTCCCTATACACATAGCCATGGCCACCCGGTCACATGACCAGCTAGCCACGCCCACCCAGTCACATGACCTCCAAGCCACACCCATAAAATAAGCCATGCCCACAGAACTGGTAGTAAAAAAATTTAGAACCCACCCCTGCTAAAGTTATTACCTATTCGGTAGATCCGGGCTGAACCAGTAGCAACCCACCACTGCCTCCAATCAATGTGGGAAGGATCTGTTGTAGAAAGGCTGCCAATGGCCGTCCTCCCCTCAGCAAAAATGGCCTTCCTTTCACTTCTGTTGATAGGAATCTTCCCTGGATGATCCGCAGACAGATGAGGTTAGCCTCTAGTACTGAGATAGGGAACTGGTTTTTCAGGGTCAGATGCTGCAGTATATGTGTTGCGCATAATTGGCCTCTCTGAGGAAAAAGGTAGAGCTGAGAAGATGATTTGTTTGCCCCCGGGTGATAAATATGGACCAACAGCAGTTGAAGAAAGAACCAATTCACTCACTAAATACAGCTATTCCCTCTTCTCTGGTTACTTAACATTACTTGCCAATGTAAGACCATAACCCTATTGAAATATTTATTCAGATTCTATCTAATTTCTGCAGGCACTGACCGAAATCCACAAGCAAAGCCCCGTGAGTATGTAAGTCAAAGGAAATGCCAGGAGACTTTGAATTTGAAGCTGGACAATGATTATTTGATCTGGGGTCTCAGCAGTGACCTGTGGCCCAAGAAAGATGAGTACGTATTTCACTATTTAAAAAAAAAAAATCTAAAATTTTATAGATTTTGTTTTTCTGCTATCAAATCCATAAAACACCTAACAATATATTTACAGTACCATAGAATGTTGTGTTACAACTTTGAAAGCAACCCTAATCTGAATCTTTTAATATCAAAATAGCCATTCCTCCTCAGTTTTATTGGATGTCACTTGTGTAGGTTACATATGACATTGTAGGGAATAACCTTAACTAGGATTTTTAGATTCCTTCATATATGGATAGCACCATCTGCCCAACTAAATCTCTCTGGGAATATCTAATGCTTTTGCTCAGATGCTTCAAGCCACATAGTCCATATGCTCTATGTTGTGCTGAAGAGCTTTGCTGGCCTGGAGAGGTCTTTTCTATCACAACCTCACGTTTCCCAGTGCCTCCAGTTCAGGCCTGCAAGGATCCATACATGTGAGATCTTTCACTCAGCAAAGAATAAAAGTTGTCTTCATGTCTTTGTTACTGTCTAGTGGTTGCCCAAATTTTTGCAGCCCAGACCTACTAGTCCAATCATTTCATTTCACTTTGTGCTGAATTATTTCCACCATTGTTTTTATAGTACAGACAGTTCAGTAGGGGAAGGGTTGCATCTAATTGATCCTCTCTATACACTCAAACATACACATGAAAAAGAGTTGGTAGATTATCACTGTATGTTTAGGAACATAGACTTGTTGTTTTAGGTGTTTTTGGAAACATCAAGGCTGATACTCATTTACGTGAAGAAAATCAAAATACTGTTTGGGTGATTTAACCGTTCAAAGCAACATAAGGATTTTTCACACTTTTTCACACTTCTTAAAGTCTCCCTGAATTTTGGATTGTCTTAACTATCACAAGCCTGATGCATCTCTATTCTCCTTGCCTGGTTGACTTTGAGAAGCTCTAACTGTGAGCCATTGGGGTTTTTTTCATTCCATTTGGGTTCCACAAACATACTTCTACATTTCTGTTGATAATATATACCTTTAGCATTCAGATCCAATTTTCTGCTATTTGTGTTAACTGAAATGCATAAAGTCTTAGACTGGGGAGAAGCAATCTATGAGATAAAACTGATGCATCATTGAATTCATTCATTCATTCATCACATCTGTACTGTATACTGCCAAATCTTGCAACTCACGAGGGTGTCATGATAGCAATCATGTTTTATGGCAGGAACCATTTGAATTTTCCAGAATTCAGTTGAGGATTCAGATTTTAAGGAAAAAGAGAAGTTTCTTTTCTCACCCTAAAAACAAAATCTAAATTAAAATGTCATATTCATAGCATGAAATGATTGAAAACTATATTTGGATTCAATCCAAGCCCAACACATTGTTCCAACAGGAGACAGTTGAACTAATTTCCTTGCAGGGCTGTTTTTAGCTATCCTGTTTCTCTTTCCAGTATTTCCTACCTCATTACAAAGAACACCTGGATTGAGAGATGGCCATATGAAGAAGAATGCCAGGATGAAGAATTCCAGAATTTGTGTGATGACTTTGCTCAGTTGTCCAACACACTGACTATTTTTGGCTGCCCTACTTAAAGTTTAGAAGAATTAATGATAGGAAGAATATTCTCAGAATAACGATTTTTGAGCCAATACATATATGTTACTTTGCCTCTTGATTTTTTAGTTTTTTATCATTTTGCTGTGCTATTTTCTTTCAAAATTGTTTATTCATAAAATAAATGATTGATTTCATACTTTGGTATCCTGTTGATAGTTAATAAGGAGTGATATTTCAGAAGTATTCTTTTTTTGTTCTTCTGATCCTTTTATTAATTGAAGTTCTTGGAGAAGATTATAAAGTATTGTTTTAGTGATGGATGAATGAGTTAGTGGGTGAATATTAACTAGGATTAATAAGGCTGAGGGAAAGAATTAGGTGGCACAGCTCAACACAATGCAGAATATAAATTTACTTCCTTCTAATTTCATCCCAGTAACTAGAATAGTTAGATTTCTGCATTTTGCTGAGTTTCCACCAAAGGCAATACTCAAAGTGCTTTTTCACTTTCTGCAAATTGCAAAGGCATTCTCCCATGCATATAGCTTTCCATCCATTACAAATTGCATCACAAGTTTATATCTAGGTCATAAAAGAAATGTTGAATATCAATTGCAGCTATCCCCTCTTTCATGTTCTTCAAAGTTATATATAATGTCTAAAAATGAGTAATGTTGATTGTAGAGCCAAAACTAAGTATTATTACTCAAGGTGGATCAGAGTTTACAGATACCTTCCTCCAAGAAGCTTTTCAAAAAAGATGTATTAGGATTGTCAAGAAAATGCACAGCAGCTGTCCAGATGAAATTGGAAACCCTAACATAAATTTGTAGTCTTTTATAAACCAGACCCCATAAAAGAGTAGGTGGAGTTGCACTGTATATAAAGGATCACTATATTGCTACAGAAATGCACAAAACCAAAGATAAAAACCTCCTAGAATTCATATAGGTCAATATAAAAGAAAAAAAGAATGACATTGCCATAGGTGTATACTACAACTAAGCAAAAAAAAAAAGATGTACTTTTTGCTAACCAAGTAATAAATATATGTAGGAAACACACTACAATAGTAATGGGGGACTTCAATTAACTTGACATCAACTGGAAGACTAATTTTGCACTAAGTGAGAAATCAAATAAGTTCCTGACCAACCTAGCTGACAACTTTATTGTCCAAAAGGTAGAGGAGGGAACTCTACCCTCCCTAGAGAGGGAGAGCCATAATGGACTTAATTTTTATTTATTTATTTATTTATTTATTTATTTATTTATTTATTTATTTATTTATTTATTTATTTATTTATTTATTTATTTATTTATTTATTTATTTATTTATTGGTTCGATTTATATGCCACCCTTCTCCGGAGACTCAGGGCGGCTTACAACGCATTAAGCAAGAGCCTTCATACTTTTGTATATACCTGTTTAGTAGGGCTTTCGCCCCCCCCCCCCAGCGGTGTTCTTTTTTATACAAAGTCAGTTTATTGCCCCCACAATCCGGGTCCTCATTTTACCTACCTCGGAAGGATGGAAGGCTGAGTCAACCTTGAGCCTGGTGAGATTTGAACTCGCAGTAATTGCAGGCAGCTGGCAGCTAAGTGCTACTTTAACAGCACTTTTAGTCCGCTGCACCACCAAGGCTCCTTATGGCTCCTTCTCTTATGAACAGAGAAGTCGTGATAGAGGGAGCTGAAACTGCAGGAACCTTGGGTGTGAGTGACCATGTCATACTGGACATAGTCATACTGGAATTCAATATAATGCAAACACAAGCAACAGAACATAATGACACCAGAGTCTTAGATTTAAAAAAAGCTGATTTTAATAAACTCAGAGAGAACTTGGGAAAGATTCCTTGGATGAAAATCCTAAAGGGGAAAACAACTCAAGAAGCTTGGGAAACTGAAAAATATGATTATAAAATCTCAGTCCAGCACAATACCACTGAAAAAGAAAAGTAGCAAATCCAAGAAGAAACCAGCATGACTGCACAAAGATCTCTCTGATAAATTGAAAGACAAAAAGGACAAGTACAAAAAATGGAAAGAGGGACACTTAACTAAGGCAGAATATCAGCAGATAGCCAGAATCTGCAAAGTTGAAATCAGGAAAGCAAAGGCTCAGAATTAACAAAGGCTTGCAACAAAAGTCAAAGATGATAAAGTTCCTTCCAACATATAAATAACAAGAAAAAAAATCAAGGAAACAGTTGGTCCACTAAAGAGAGAAGGCAGCAAGGAAGTAACAGGCAGCAGAGAGAAAGCAGAGCTGCTTAACTCATTCTTTCAGTTGTCTTCAGCAAACAAAAACTATAGCCCAACCTCCCAAAAATATAATCTTAAAAGACAGACTAGAAATAAAAAGTAAAATAAGCAAGAAAATGGTAAGAGAACATCTGTCTGATCTTGACAAATATAAATCACTGGGACCTGATGGATTACATCCCAGTGTTCTGAAAGAACCGACAGGTGTTATCGCAGAACCATTGTACCATATCTTTCAAAAATTCTGGAGCACCAGGGAAGTACCAGAGGACTGGAAAAGAGATGATGTGGTTCCCATCAGTGATGTGATTCAAGTTATTTAACAACCGGTTCTGCCTAATGACCAGCTGTGTAGGTGTTGTCAGGTTCCAAAAGAAAAGAAAAAGAAGGAACACAACCAAACACAAACTTGGTTTGTTACTGCCTGCTTTACTTCCCTTCTGGCACACACTTACAATCGCAGGAATATCTTGTTAGGGCTACTTGCCTGTGCTCCCCACCACCTTTTATACAATAAGTACCATCCACCCACAATGGTATGCAACTCCCTCCCACATGATCCGGAAGTGAGAAGAAGCCATCATCTTTCAAGTTCAGCCTCCTTAGCCCTCAGTCCCAATGGAGTCCTTAAGGGAGGATTGGTCCTCACTGAAGTGGCCAGTCTTCAACAGAGGTCCAGGATGGCCTGGGAGAGCGATGGCTGCCTCTCGAGTGCTGCCATGCCGTCCTCGATGACGTGATCACCGTGCAGCCACCTCTTAGTTGTTTGGTGGCCGTGCGGCCTCCTCCCGGCATAGCGGCCTCTTCCGGGTGTTTCCGCTGTAGCTCCGCTGCCTGCATGGTGGTGGGGCTGACAGCTCCCGGTGTCCTGGCGGCTCCTGGGCTGGTTCTGGGGTGGCAGCTGGGCTGGTACTGGCCGGAGGCTTCAGGGTGGTGGCTCCCCTCCGAATGGCAGCTCCACGCCAGAGCTGACAGGTGTGGCTGGGTGGTGGTGGTATCATGTGACTCAGTGGGCATGGTGAACTCAAAATCACTCATGGCAAGGTTCAGCTCGCCTGCGCTACCCAACCTTGCCATAACAGCAATATTACCTCATTCCGGCCAGTGAGAGCTGCGCTACTCCTTGCACCACTTCTTGTACCACCCTCTACGGTGGAGATTTCCAGCCCCACCAAGAGCGAATCTCCCCCCCCCCACCATCATCCTTACCTTCTCAGGCCAGGCGAGGAATGACTGGGAGGGGAGAAGCGAGGTGAGGCGCGGGGCCAGCCAGTGGTGGGATCAGCCATTTCGCCGAACTGCGCAAAAAAGTTAACAACCACTTTGGCTGAACCAGTGCAAATCGGCTGAATCCCACCACTGGTTCCCATCTTCAAAAAAAGGGGGAAAAACAGACCCTGGAAAGTACAGACAAATCAGCCTAACATCAATACCTGGGGAGATACTGGAAAAGATAATGAAAAAACAGATCTGCGAACATCTAGAATCTGTTTGTTTAAAACAGATCATGCCAAACCAATCATATTTCATTCTTTGACAATATGACTAAAGTAGTAGACCAGCAAAATGCTGTGGACATAATATGCTTAGATTTCAGTATAGCATTCAACAAAATATCACAACCTACTTCTTGATAAACTAGAAAAATGTGGGATAGAAAGCATCACCACCAAATGTATTTGTAACTGGCTGATAAACTATACTCAACAAATAGTCCTTAATGGTACGACATCTACATGGAGGGAAGTAAGCAAGGTTCTGTTTTAGTCTTCAATATCTTCATAAATGTCTTAGATGAGGGAATAGAAGGGAAACTTATCAAATTTGCAGATGACACTAAGCTAGCAAGAATAGCTAACAACCTAGAGGACAAGCTCAGGATCCAAAAAGATCTTGACAAGAGTTGAATAATGAGCCCTATTCACCCCAAAAAAGAAATTTAATGTGGAGAAAAGCAAGGTTTACACTTAGACAACCCTACCTCCAAAAGGTACAAGTATAGATGAGGTAAAACATGGCTCAAAAACAGTAACTGTGAGAGGGACTTTGGAGTGCTAGTTGACAATCACTTAAATATGAGCCAGCTGGTGACATTGTGCAACAGCAGCCAAAAAATTAATACAGTCCTTGGTTATATAAACATAGGCATAGAATCAAAATCACATAAGTATTAGTACCACTTTATAAAACCTGGAATAATGCATCCAGATTTGGTCACCACATTACAAAAAAGTTAGCGAGATTTTTAAAAAAGTACAGAGAAGAGCAACTAGGATGATTAAAAGCCTAGAGACTAAAATATATAAAGAATGGTTGGAAGAACTGGGTATGCAGTGGTAGGATTCAGCCAGTTTGTACCGGTTCAGTAGAACTGGTAGCTACATTTTTCTGAAGTTTGGCGAACCGGCTGAATAGCCTTCTTCCCCCGCCCCACCCCTCCCCATCTGTAACCCCCAAATTGCATCAATAAAGGGGTGGGTGGGTGGCTAAGTGAAGGGCAGGAAGCTCTGCCATGCCTGGCGAGGGGAGAAGAGACAGCAAGAGGAGCCCTGTCTTGCTCCACACGCCCCAATGAAAGGCAGTGGTAGACAGCGTGGTGCTAGACTGGAGAAATGGGCAACGGAGTGACCGGCACGAGGGAAGGAGGAGGTTGCTTTCCAGTGGTGGGATTCAAATAATTTAACAACTGGTTCGCTCAGGGTCAGGTTGGTCCATCCCTGTCCTCCAGTTCTGCTGCACATGCAGGAGGAGCCTCCTGCAATGGCCAACCTGACCCTGGGCAAATTGGTTGATAAATTATACCTCCCACCCCACTATCAAAGTGGATGCTGGGCACTGCCTTGCAATGGAGAAATGGGAAATGGAGCGGCCGGCATGACGGAAGGAGGAGGAGCAGGGAGAAGAAAGAGGGAAAGCGGCCTCCTCCTT